GCAGGAGGTGCTTGGTGACCTATTTGCTGAGCCACAGGGCTACCTGGAGCTGGTCCTCAGGGTCAGAGCCGGGCTCTGCAAAGCTGGGGAAAGTGGCAAGGCAGGTAGCTTGGGCTAGGGGATTGAGAGGCTAGGAGTTACCGCTGCTGTGCACTGCTCCCCCCGCCCTAAGACTACTCCGCAGCCCAGTTGCCTGCCCTTCATTCTCCAGCAGGAAAGGTCTCCTCCAGCCAGACACCTGGGCAGAACGGAGGGTGTGTGTGTGTGTGTGTGTGTGTGTGTGTGTGTGTGTGTGTGTTTGCTTGCTTGCTTGCTTTAGGGACCTAGCCAGAGTGCTCGAGCATGCTGGCTGCATGGCCTAGGTAGAGGCACGCTGTGGAAAAGTGGCCCCTGGGTTGGCTCAGTGTTCTGAGTGGGGTCTGTGGAGAAACAGGTAGGAGGCAGGAGGCCTGGCCTGGGCCTCCTCTCTTGCCCAACCTACTGAACCTCCCTGGGCTGGCCCCAGCTCCATTCATCTCAGAGCCTAGTTACCTTGTTCATGATGCAAGAGCCATTGGCTTGTCTTTGTGGGGTATGATGCAAGAGGTGGCCCAGTCCAGCCTTTCTCTTGTCTATATTTCCCTCCAGCTGAGCCCCAGGCGTAGCTGCACTTTCACACAGGGCTGTTGAGAGCCGGAGTGCACCTTGGTAGAAGAGGCCCTGATTAACTAACTATCCACTCTGAACACCCCTGCCACCACTTCCCAGTAGATCAAAAGCATAGAGGAGAGAGGGTCTGAGGCCTGCTGGCTACACAATCTTTTGCCCAGCAAAAGGTGCCCTCTCCTTTGATCTGCTCTGACACTCCAGAGGGTGGAGGGACCCCGGGCCTCTGTATCTTGACAGAAAACCCAAGCAAAAGTGGGTCAGCGCAGGTCTGTTTGCCAGGTCCAGGTTGAGCTCTGTGGGGACACTTACTTAGGGGGTGCCTTGCTGGGGATTGGGCAAGGGACAGAAGCCAGATCTGAGAGATTTTGCAACGCGGTCATCGCGGTAACTGCTCTCATCGGCCTCCATTCCACAGCAATGGGAAACTGAGTCGCAGCCACAATGAACAACTTGTGTCATCGAGGGTGGCCTTGCACTTTATCTGTGGCCGACTGGCTCCTGCACTGCAAGAACTGTTTTCCCAACTGTACAAGGGGAGGGACTTGTGACCTCTTTTACTGGGGACAAACTGAGGCCCGGGAAGGGGGACTCGGCGGGGAAAAAATGTCACCTCCGTTGGGGGCGGGAGCAGGAGAAGGATAAGGAGCCCAGATAAGCTGCAGGGGGCATAGGGGCGACCCTGGCTCGCGCTGATTGCGGAGCTCCGCTCCCTCCTGTCCCACCCACCGGCCCCCGCCCCGCTCCGCCCCGCCTGGGCCCGGCC